TTCCTTTTTTTTTTTTTTTTTTTTTTTTTTTTTTTTTAAAATTCAAAATTTTCACCCAAAAAAAAAAAAAAAAAAAAAAAAAAAAAAGCAAATTTTCATTTGCTTGGGGAAATGCTATCCAAACCAACCAGTTTGGTGCAACTCTTTTTGTTTCAGACGACTGAATTTGGTTCATTTGAGCCAAATGAACCAAATTCATTACTGCTTGATCTGAGGAATCCATAAATCACTTAAATCCAACTAGTCTGACAGCATGAAGTAGGACAAAAGCTCCCAAAAAGCAACAATTATGCTCTGATGTAGAAACATTTAAAACACATCAGAAAGTCAGTGATAAAGCCATAGATGAGGCTTTGGAACAGCAAATGGAGAAATCCTGGAACACAGGTGAACTTTCGCAGGAAAGGCAGGTTGTTCAAAATTACTCTGAGAACGCCTCAGTTACTCATCCAGAAGGTTTCTAATGTAAAACAAAACAAGTCCTGGCTCAAAAGAACACAAATGCTCTCTCACATTTGCTCCCCAAAGAATCTCGATGATGCCCAAGGCTTATGGGAAATTGTTCTGTGGATTTATGAGCCAGAACTTTTGCCAGGATGTCTTGGGTCAATCACAGCCTCACATACGGTCAGACTGGTTTAAATTGTATTTTTCCATTTTTAAAATTATTTATCCATCTCTGATTAACCTTGCGTGATATTAACATTTGATCCATCACCTAAAACATCTGATTGTGATGAAAACAAAAGAAATGTGTAATTGGGCAGACACTTTTTCAAAGCATTGATTGACTTTTCAGACTCTATCTAGGAGGGAAGATATTGATTGCTCATAATGAAAAAAAATTAACTATCAATTTGTTTTCATATGTCAAATTGCATGGAAAATATAGAAACTTTGTACATAAGTTGGTCTTTTGAGACAAAAAAACAAAAACAATAGTCATCAAGGTACATGTTAGCCAGCTAGTTTTTTTGCTAGTTAGCATGAGTATTCACTTCGCTAGGAAGCTAAAGTGAATAAAAAACAAAGACAATCCAAGTTTGACTCTCAAATAAAGGTTATACATCCATATTTGAAAAACTCTAACTTATTGTTTAATTTATGACTCAACTGTTTATTTTTAAAAGGACTCGGGGTGCACCCCTAACCCTGTGTTGCCGTCTTGAAGATTCAGAATAGATTCATTTTGTTGCTGTGCTTCACGCTGACACCAAGTTCAGTAAAGTCTGCTTGGTAAAGCAGATTTACAAAGCAGGGAACAAAAAAAAAAAATTTAAAGCATCTGTGCAATCCTGGGAACTGCCAAGAATTTGGTGCAAATTTGTATCGACTCTCGACTGTTTTATGTTCCACATACATTAGAAAATACAGCATCTCAAAGCATACATTGAAAAACAGAGCTGATGTTTTAATACAAGGAAATAACACAGTGTACGCTGCTGGTGAAATCCACACAGACCCATTGGTCCCACAGTGGCTACCTTGGATTAGCACCAAGGTTAAATTCAGATTGACCAGATGGTTGGACCTACCAGCTAAACCTTCATTCAAACCAGCAGAATCAGCATGTTAAGCATCCATCTTCACATCTTAAAAGCTGGCAGAGAGCAAAGCAGAACGGGAAGTGGATCGTATAAAGTCGTGTGGAGGAAAAGAAAAGTTTAAACTTTCAGCTAGCCTTTTTTACAGTATTCACACTGTACCACGCAGAGCGTAACATCCATGTTGTCGCGTCTCAAGACCCGGTTCCTCTAGCAGTACTCCTCTCCTTGCGGGTCGGGCAGGTCGTTGAGGTCCAGGAAGATGGAGGTGTTGGAGAGTTTGCGGCCGCTCGTCGACAGGTCCAGCAGCTCTTCGGCAGTGCTCGGCACCGAGCTGATGTACATGTCCCACACTTGCTCCGGAGAATCCAGCTCCAGCAGCTTCTGCTTGATCTTCAGGTTCTTCTCAATGTTCCTGCGCTTGTGCTTGAACTCTAGGATGGTTTTGGTGTAGCGGTTGATGGTGGTGACCGAGGACGCCATGCAGGCCGTGAAGGAGCTCCACGCCAGTCTACGAAACAGAGAAAAGAGCCCGCTTTAATCTCGGACGATAAGAAACATTAACCACTAAAACGGCTTCAGTTTGTATTTAAGCATATTATTTTATAAATGTAACGTTCAACAATGCTTTCATTCTAGGAAGACCACCACTTTTTTGGTAAAAGTCCTTAAACAGTTTGATTTAAAATTAACCGATGATGTTGCTTCAGTCAAGGGTTAAAGTGGATCGCCAACTTATTGTGGATTCACCTATGCACGAATCAAATCTGGAAAATATACAAAAGAAAAAGCAGCTTTGGAAGCTGAAATACCTGACTGTAATGCTACTAGACACACTATTAGCTGGCGTTTGAAAAGCAGCCAATCCATGAACTTCATTCATTTCCCTTTGTGCTAATTGGCTGTACCTCAAAGCGTGGAGACGGTTCCCATTGAGAATATTAATACATCTCATATGGAGAGCCTTTTCACTTCCATTGGAAACTACATCAATAAATAATTCAAATAAATGTTCCCATGAAATAAAAACAAAATAAATATTGAAGAAAAATTTTTTTTTTTTTTTAAAGGAGAGCTTCTTTTGTCAATCCCAGTTGATCTGTTTATCTCATTCCAGGATTATTTATGCATTTATTTAATTGTTTTCTTCATAATGTTGTTTTACTTTGTGGCACTTTTCTATGTGTTTCATACAACCAGGTAAACTGTACTCACATGTACGACCAGCTGTAGTCCCACGTTTGAGGTTTCCAGTTCTCTGGACCCAGACTGACGGTCAGCTGGAAGGCTGTGGTGAACATCATGTGGGCCACCATACCTAGCAGACCTGCCACACACACACACACACACACACAGAGAGAGAGAGAGAGAGAGAGAGAGAGAGAGAGAGAGAGAGGGAACATGTGACTCACACACAGAAACTACTGCACTTCCACAATGTCCCCACTTGGTGGCAGCATTGAATAAAGGAAATCTGAGACACATTAACCCAGGGGTCCCCAAACGGGGGGGCCCCATTGGGGGGGGGGGGGGGGCGTGGGAAGCTGTCTGGATGGGG